AGAATGAATTAAACTTGGAAGAAAAAAATCTTTCATTGTATTAATTCTTGTAGGTCCTCATGCACAATCATCCTGACAGATGTGTACCAGCAATATACACATTTCATAAAACAAAGTCATTTGGTCAAACACAGAATATAATATAAACATGGCTTTTTATATTTGATAAAAATCCCAAATAAAATAAAAGCCATTTACCAGCAAGAAAGTAACAGATAAATACCTAGGTATTTAAAAAAATCAAAATGATTTTATACATTTTGTACAAGCACAGTTTTGAGACTGTAACAAGGTCAAAATGTGCATGAACAATGGAATAAACCACACCATTTTGGGGCCACTGAGCTCTTGAAAATAAAGCAAACAGAATGCCACTTTTTCTAAATGGCTGGTTTTTTTTATATTCACCAGTGTACTATTTACCCAACATGACAATTTTTAGTTGGCACGTCTGAAGTGTTATACAAAGATCCTTTGAAGCCATAAACTCGGTTGTCAATTTAAAATTAAGTATTACTTGGTATTTTTACTCGTACCTTCAACATGCTTTAATTTTCCCAGTATCCAAAAACAAGGAAAGAATTAAGATCAAGAGACATTACATTCAATGTAACAAAAAAGAACAGGCAATAAAAAGTTCTCTAAGACTGGTTATGTGTCTCAGTTCTCTTAAGCAGCTATAAATTCAAAAGATTGCCTTCACCTTTTCAGAACAGTATTATTCTCTGTATTATGGAAACATTTTTAGCTTTTTTAAAAAAAGGAGACAGTCCTTACAAGACAAACCGTACCATTGTCCAGCCCGAGTATTTTCATATACAATTCATGTCCAATTTTGGAAATACAAATACATTTTGAATGGTTAAAAACAAAAATTAAAAAAATATTTTCTGAACATCAGCCAGCTGAAAATATATTTATCTAGTAAATTATCTCTCAAAGCTTTTTTATATATTTATCTAATTAAATGCAGTACCTTTAAAAACAATTGTTTAAAAAATGTAGAAATGAAATTGGGGAATAGGTCTGTGGGAAGAGGGAAAGAGAAAGAGAGAAACACAGTACACAGAAGACATTTTATGTACCTTATAGTTGGGTAGTTCTTAGACACTTTTGCCACAATCCAAACTCCACAGAAACTCTGATGAGTCTCTGAAGCTTTCGGGTGAGCAGTGGCTTTCCTTTCCTATTCATACTTATGGGGGGAAAAATGATGCGCACCCTGTTCGCACCAATGTGAAAGAGCCTGGCACTTGGCCAGTCTCCCGCTCAAATAAGTTATTTCGAACGGTGGCTTAAAATGGTAGAAGCGAGGCTTATGGTAAATGTAGCAGAGAACCAAGTGTGTTACCTTCTGTTCTGGAATAATGAAATTATGCAGTGGTCAGTTGACAATATCTGACTGATCAATCGGCCCAGCAATATAAAAAATGAACTGGGAAAACTCGGTTGACACAAAATTCAACATTAAAATTCCTGCAGTTGCAACCAAGTTGCTGTATTCGGGTTATTGTGGGGAACTAGTAAGCAAAGCTAATGTCCTGAGTTCCTCAACCAAGATAAAGCCAAAAGCTGACACACATTTATACTGAAGTAATTTTAAAAAATAACTTCTCACACATTCAAGACAGTAGTACATTGCACCCATACATAATTCGCATACACTCATAACAGTTGGTCAAAGTATTAAATCAGTGTACAAATTAAACGTTTCCAAAAAAATGTGCAAAAGAGTCAACATCAATAGAAAAAAACACCATTGTGTACATACATTACAAACTGTGCCCAGCATTTAAACAGAGTAAAAACATTTACAGACCAAAACCAAGGGATTTAATAGATCATTTGACAGCTGCATTAAAAAATGTACATTAGATCAAAGGAGTAAGGAGTTTATACATTATTATTATTCATAGCTTGTTGAGAAGTAAAAGTCCATTATTAACTTCAATCAACCTCTCTTCCCCATCCCTACAGATACATTTGCTTTACATTTAAGATGACAGGCTGAGCACATTTAGATTGCTATGATCCCATTTTCACTTTCTCATAAAAAGATTTAAACTGGTGAGAGAGAGAAAACAAAAGGCAAAGCTGCACCAAGTTTAGAAAGTTCAGACCCTGTTCCAAAAAAGAAAGCACAATCTTTTTCTTCATATAGTTCATGATTATGTGTCATATATGTAGAGGGAGAAAATCTCACGGAGAATCGTATTATTGACAAAACATGGTAACCCCTATCCCACCCCAAAGATGCAGAAAATCCAGAATGAAGCTTTAACTCCCTAGTATTTTACAGTCCTTTGCCTACAGGGCTTGGGTGTAATACAAATTACAGGGGAGATGTCTGTAGTAACATCTTTTTGTAGTTGCTCCTTGGCTATTAAGGAGTTAGGGGATTCTAAAAGGTTAACTGTATAAACAGACAAAATACACCTTTGTCTAAAAGGACTCTATTCACTTAAACTTCCAGCCATTGTTTAGTTTACACTCTTGTTTGACATATGAAAAGTGCACATACAAAAAAAGTCTTTTGCTGCTAACAGTTTCAGTGGCATAGAAATTGTTCCCCAGGATGCAAGCCTTTCACTTAAACTATTATCAAGATATCTCAGGGGGAACTATGGCTCTGAATTATTTGGAATGAGATGGATAACTACCTCATCAAACAGCTATGGTCTACTTTGTTATGGCACAAGGAAAACTTTGGCCCATTACACCAACTTCAAGGCTCACTGTTCAATCCCCTCTTTTTCTTCAATTGCAAATTAAAAAACCACAGAAAAGTTCAGAACAATTTGTTGACAATTTATACCCAGGAGAAAAATAGTCCAAAAGGACATAAATGGAAAGTGAAGATATGCATAATCTATCAAAATACACTGAATTCAGATCTAATGCCCACCAGCCAAGGACAAAGTATGATGGCCTTCAATCATTTTAATGAAATTTTAGAGATCGGCCTGTACAATTAAAAGTGTCCAGGATTTCTTTGATACTTACTGTCTTCATTACATATATTGCAAATTATTGTGAAACCTGTCAAAGGCTTTTCCAGCCAGAATCACTGCGATGTGTGATTTCCGAGCTTCATATGCAGGTGAAATGTCAGGAGAAATGCTGCCTGAACACAGCTCTACAGCCTGGAAACACACAACACCACATTGTGAAACCTGGCTTAAGAACCACTGTTATCATTGTTTCCTAAGATCACCCAAAGATGGATTTGAGCCACAGAACTACAGAGGACATTATGTTCATGCAAGAAGGAGCTCCTACTCCCTGCTCCGCACTAAACCCCCTCAAGAATAAGAGAATAAGAAGCTGAATTTTTTTCCTAATGTAACATTTTTTTCTCTTGATTTTTACTGTAAAAAAAAGACTTCAGATGAATTTAAGGAAAACATAGTAATTAGCATTTCTGATTCCAATTTATTTTTGTTCTATTTGCCACATTTAAAGAAATAGGTTAGGCCATTGTATATATGCACACCTTTCATTTGTGACCTTGTTTGCTTCTATAACTTTTGTCCTTAGGTAAAGATTTTCTTCTTCTGGTACAGCTCTAAAATCTTCTCTTTCATCAAGGCATTTTTTAAGTCATCATGCTAAGCATCATTCAGGCTGTGCTTATTAGAAGCCATGACTAGCACCTGCAGTTATGGGCCCAGTATCTTTTGTGGACTATAAAATGGCTGCATTTTATTATCCCAGGTTAAATGTCACAGAGGATATGGATGCAACTCTTGGATTGCACACAGCTGCTTCACACACCAAGTGGTTGCTGCTCATGCAACCACTTGGACTGAATGTGCAACCAGGCCAGCCCTGGTAGTTGTTCTATTCAGCACAAAGCTTACAAATGGTTGAAAAACTAATAACAGTCGCTAAGCTAGATAAATATCACTTTTGGCTGTGTCCAAGGGTAGAAAAGCTTTGGTTTTCAGGGATTTGCAAAGGTGCATGTTATGCACAAGGAACTGAACATGAATAAAGTACCATTATATTGGCAGTAATACCTTTGCTAATGCAAAAATAATCATAATGAGCTTACATTTAAACACATAAAACTTGTGTTTGTTTGCCCAAAAGTGTAATATATTTGAAATATTAAAAAAACCAAACAAAAAAGAAACTATATTATGAATGTTGATCAATATTCATGAACATCTACAGCTATTATGAAACTGCTACAAAGTTGGATGAAGTGGTTGCTAATGCAACTTAACTCATTAACACAGCATTAAATCTGGACAATGGCAGAACAAGATTTGCACTTGTTTCTTCATTTTGAATCAACTGTGTTTTTAAAAATAAAACCATTTGTCTCTATAGAAGCAATATTTTCACATGCCCCACCAACTTTCCTTCAGAACAAGCAGTGAATTAGGTAACCATTATGGCTCACCTAAATTCCTGGGTATTAGAGGAATCTTAAATGGCATTCTGGAACAGAATGAAAGTTAAAAAAGGAGAATATATTTAACATCAAACTATATCGTGATCCCAGAACTATCTACTTTCCATTCAGCGCAAGAACACACTGAAGGATAAATATTCTGCTTTCCATTTAGCATAAAGAATAAAGGGGAGAATTAATCCAACTGTTCTGGATTTCCAATGCAAGCATAACACTGCCTGGCTTATGCCCACATGCTGTATCACTGTTTACAAAACAGAGGATTTATAAGATAACTCTAAAGAAAACCCCCAAAAGTTATTGAAAGCACTTGTGGCTGTAGTGCTCGTAGTTAGTTCGAGAAACAAGATACGGCAACCTTAACGTCTGGGATTTAACTTTCTATATTTCAAAGAATGTGCCTGGTGGTCCTTAACTCCTATTATAACTGGCAGGTGAACAAATTAAGGCATTCTGATAAAGGCACTGAGATTATTTGAGTTCTGTTGTTAGTACAACTAAAAAGAGCCAGTGTTGCACATTTGAATGTGTGCTCCAGAAAGGAAGTGCATCAAACAAAAGTAAAAAGCAATACAGCCACTTCTTTCCTCCTTTTTAATTTGCATTACTGATTCAGATTTCTGCAGGCACACCTTATATGATTGGATAGCCTCTCCTTTATACATTTTAAAATTAATTATCACAATTGGTTCCCAAACCATTTTCTCATAATTGCTCTTAATAATTATGTCAAGTTCTCATGATTTTGATCATAAAAATAGCCAAAGATTATCTCAAATTTCTTTATATTCTTGGAATCCTAGAAAGTGTTACGGAGCAAGTGCCCATACAAAACAGGGCACAATTAAAAATGAGCAGACAGACTCATAACATTGCCAATATGCATTGTTCTGAAGGATCACCATTTTACTTTTGCTCCTAATGAAACTATTCATTACTTGTAAGTTACCTCCTGATATAGGTACCCAGAAGATTATAAGGTAAGCTCGTGTCTGTACTGTTTAGCAAAGGCTTAGATGTAAAGAAAATGGTTGTTGCTAGGCTTGCTGCCAATTATGTGCTTTTTGGTTTGGCGCTTCAATGAGAAGATCACACAGGTACTGGATCTAAAATGTGCACATTATTAAAGCAATTAAAAGTACTGTCAACCCACCCATATTGCTGCCTGGGGCAAACTGGAAGAGGTTAGAAGCTGGGTATATCATAGTACTCACACAACCTGCATGCCATTAGATTAGAGGTTGTAGCTAAGAGGCTGCAACTCCATAATTTTGGCACCTGTTTTTATACTGCCATTGTTGAGAAAAAAATGCAGTACTGAAAAAAAAAAAAGGCACAAAATGCAATCACCTTACTCTGCTAGTCCCTGGCCCCTTTCCCGGCCACAGTAAGAAAAATGGCACTACAGTTTAGAGCAGGCCTGGGCAAACTTTGGTCCTTCAGGTGTTTTGGACTTCAACTCCCACAATTTCTAACAGTGGGAGTCCAAAACACCTGGAGGGTCAAAGCTTGCCCATGCCTGGTTTAGAGGAAGAAGCTGCATGCAGCAATCTGAGTGAATCATGACCGAATCTGAATGTTGTCAAGCTTCAAATAGTTTCTTTTGATCAGTATTTTGCACTTACATTCTCTTTAAAGTCCATTTTCACACTTTTTGGTAAATAAAGTATCCTTGTTGAAATTACAGGCGCCTCTGCATGTTTTATGCACATGTATTCAGAGTACAATGAAGAAGCATTTCCATTCTTTGGCCCTCTGTTGAGTCTGTTGACTCTTTAGAGGAAAGAAAATGGGGAGCTTAAGTTCAGCACAGGCAGTACCCGAGTTACAAACATTTGACTTACAAATGACTCATAGTTAAGAATAGGGATGAGATAACAGAAAGGGAGAGAAATCTACCTCCCAAGAAGGGAAATCTACTCCTGAAATGGTTATCATGGAAGAAAGAGGTCTCAACTGAAGCTTTCTCACCAATCCTTGTTTCCAAAACAAGCCAATTTTTTTAAAAATTCAATTACCACAGGGGCAAAAAGTACAGTGAAATCTTCTGAAGAGTTACTTAAAAATGTACCTGTTCTGACTGACATACAAATTCAGCTTAAGGACAAACCTACAGAACCTATCTTGTTTGTAACTTGGGGACTGTCTGCATATTAATTCAGTTATAGACAGGCGTAATACAATTTAGGGATACCAAAAATGATCTTCCTAATAAAATTATGCAGCAAAGTAAACAATATAACCAAAACTCATAAGGCATTTTTCACATCTGATTTAGAATACACAACGTTGGCAGAATTCGTAGCTAGTCTGCCAGAGGTACGTACCTACTTGTTTTGCTCTACAACATTATAAAGTTATTCAGATATCCAAAAACCACAGTCACAAAATAACTTCTGCTTAAGTTTTCTGTGACCTCTGAATGCCTGAAGCTGTGAAAGTTTGCATATTTTTTTCTAAATGACTAGTATGAGGTATTGTCCCATTCTTAGATTTCTTGTTCTACATACCTCCTCATACTCTGATAAATAACCTTTTCACCCTTTCACACAACAAGCCCTGTTGTACATGTACCCTATGGATAACACTAACATTTGAAGGATTCTTCGAACTGCTTAAAATTTAAAGTTTAAGAGTTCCCCATGTTTTAGTCTCATTCTCCGCATATTTCAGAAGCAAGTAATTTTCAGCATTTTGTCCAGTCTTTCCTCTGAGATCTCTCAAGATGGGCACTTATACTTTTGTGTAAAATTGCACTGCTACCCTGAACAAGGGGGAAAGGAAGATATAATCACATCCACCCTCTAGTCTAAATACCAACATAATAGAACTGATATTGGCAGATGGGGACCTGTTGGCAGTAAACAGGTTAAGGCAGATCCAAACTCCTGAAAGTATGCCTCTTAAGATTTTAAGGATTCTTTTTTTTCTGCCCCACTTCTTAGAAATGATTCCTGCAACTAACTCTACATCAAGTTTGCTCTCCCATCTCACTTTAAATTCTTGTTGCTGCGCATGTCTTCTAAAGGCAAAGACAAATGGGACAAAACCCCATCCAGATGATCTGAGATCAAATTACAAAAGTAAAGCACCAAAATACACTGCTCTCTACACATCCAGAGCAATGGCTAGTACCACCAGTGATTCCATTCCAGTACCATCAAGTTTTTGTTCTGCGACTTAAAAAGTTTGAAAAAGAACCTCTCACAACCCAGTGCTATACCAAAGAAATACATTACTCCTTAATGTATTTAGGATTGCTGCATCAGTCCCCATTTTTAGGAGACAGGTGATTCATGCTCCTCAAATGTCTTTTTTAGATTACACTTTCAATTCAAGAAGTCTTCAGCTGGCATGCTTAGGCTGCAATGATTGTCTGTCTGCTAGATATTAACTAAACAGTGCAAGGAATTGTGTCATAACATAAAACATACACAAATAATTTGGTTTCGCTGGAAGGGAGACTTCAATTTCCATCTAATATACTAATTAACTGAACCAAATGATGCATATTTGCATGCTTTACACAATTTGCATAGTTGCTGCTTAATGACATTTCAGCTGAATATGTAAGACTGCAGATTTTCCTATAAATGCCTGGGAAAGTGGGTTTTAATCTTGAGGAAAACATGCATAAGAGAGGAGAGCACAGATCTGAAGTAGACAACTAAATACTGTGGGCAACAGATGGGATAGCTATAACAGATGAAAAAGAGCCAGTCACTCATCACCTGAATTCCACCCATGCCATTTCACAATACCTCCAGCAAAAAGACAATTGCTCCCTTCTACAAGCACAAAAGCTTGCTTCCTCTAAACAAAGTTTATAAATGAAGATATTTAAAAATACACTCAGTCTGGCAAGCTCCATATCCATGTTCTACGAAAAATGGCAAGAGTTTCTATAATAACTTTACTTGATTCTGGAACTTCATTGCTCTTACTACCATAAACTGGTGCTGAGGTAATTAATATTTTTTGACCTCTTAATCTCATTTAGATGATCAGATGCTTTCTATTCCTACCAGCTTCTCTACTGTGCACATTTCCCATTGGCTGTAATAATCAGCACTTCCTTCAGTTATAAAGAGTTGAGAACATTGGGTACTGTTTTAACTATGGTTAAAATATTTAAATATAGGCCAACTTCTCAGCTTTAAACCATTCCAGATCTCACTGTATTATTGGCTTGCCTTTGATGACTTTATACAGGAGGCCACAAGGATTTCCTTAGGAAATATTTAACAGCAGTGTTGAGCTTCTAGAAAACAGGATCCTTCCATGACTTTTATTATCTAGTGACACTGGAAAATAGAATTATTTCCCTTCAGGGGATATTTATAATTTTCTGAAGGCATATAAAATATGCAAGTATTCTACAATCATTATGTTCAAATGTACAAATGTGGGTAGATACAGTTCAGATAATTATCTCAACTGTTTTTTTGTTTTGATTTTTTAATTACTTCGGTCAGGTAAGATACAAACTGCACAGCCTCCACTTTCAGGGTACCAAATGACAAGACAAGCACATCAGGGAGTGGTTCAGCTTCTTTCTCTCGAGCCTTTTAAGCAGAAACTGGATGGCCATCTGCCAGTAGTGCTCTGACTGTGTCTTCCTGCATTTGCAAGGGGTTGGGCTGGATGGCCCTTGTGATCTCTTCCAACTATGATTCTATGATCTGTATCTCATTTTATGTTCTTTTCTCATCATCAGTGTGTTAAAACTGAGCTATATGCAGACTTCTACTGAGCTTACTTTCCCTCTCGATTTGAATGGGGAGGGACCTTCTATGCTTCATAATAAGATGAAGTCCACAGCCAAATTCTGCATGCTCACTGGTGCAAGCTACACAAATCTTGCAAATGCTGTTTGTCTAACAATTCAAGTTTCCATTGTAGACACAGGATTCTGTTCAGCATCAAAATAGTAGATTTTAGATGCTGCTTGCATTCTTGACACTCTAAAATTTTAACACAATTGTGATAATAAGGAAAGAAAATGTGTCTCATGAAATAATTTCAGGCAGAAAGCAAGGCAACTGGGGCAGTAAAAAGGGCAGGCAATTCTTTGCTCTGACCACTAGAAACCCCTCAAATGCAGGGATCTTAACCAAACTAGTTTGCTGTATGGTATATGTGTAGACTGTTACTTAACTACAGAGGAATAAGGATCTACAACAATCTGTTTATCTACAATTTCCGCTCAAGAACATTCATGCACCAGACCTACTTGATTGCTCCATGACCCTTACAACTACTAAACTAAGGGGCACATCTGTCTATTCTTTTAAAATCATAAATCTACTAATTTGGTTACAGTTGATGTGGGAGTCCGATAGTTTCTTAGCAGTCTGAATTTTCAGTTGCTGACTGTTTCCAATACTCATTTTCAAAGCTGAAACACAACCAAGACTCCTCAGGGCTGCTATCTACACACTACAAAGAACAACTGGACATATTTCGTTTTTCTACATCTGCTAACAACATGTATGTTTTCCCTGCATCCTGAGTAAGTCAGCAGTGCTACGGGAAAATAAAAACCTTACACACAATTCCTGATGGTCCAAAAGAAGTTGCTTTTTCTCCCTCAAATAAGGAATGAATATGTACTAAAGTGCTTTATGCGAACCACATCAGTACATTATTGAAACAAAAAGATCCTAATCCTAAATGGGAAACAAATTCTGCATTGTAAATATGCAGAAAGATTATTAACAATCTTTATGAAAACAAGAATCAAGAGAAGTAAGTTCTCCCTTGTCTTTTCTCAACGCTGTGTAAAAAAAGGAAGAAGAAAAAAGTGCAGTCAGAAAATAAATGCAGTAGGTGAGAGATGGGTTGAGGCAGGCCATCAGTGATAATGTGCAAATGTGTGTCTTAGCAGTTCCTCTGCAGATGGTCGCAACTTAGCCTCAGAAAATATCTGCTTTAGAAAATCCCGACTATGGTCTGAGACATGAGGTGGCAGCTGGGGATTGGTTGGCTGTGTGGCAATTTTAAAAATGGCAGCCATTGCTTCAAACTCTGCCCAAGGGGGTTTCTCTGTGAGCATTTCAACCACTGTGCAGCCTACGCTCCTGCAACAGACAAAAGGATGAGTAAGTAACAATCAAGCAGATGAATAATTTCCACAGTATCTGAACAAGTAAGTAAAGAGAAGCATTGTTTCAAAATACATTTTGCAAACATATGTGAATTGTATGCATTATGTCAACACTTTAACTTAGTAAGTGCTTTGCAGATACCAGATAACACAACTGCTGGTAGAAAGCTGGCAGCAACAGGAAAGACTTTTACATCCACAAACATCTTACAATGTAGCTATGCATATCTAAGGAAAATATTCTATTGTTGTTTCCACCAAGGTAAGTAGGAGACGGGCATAGCTATCCTATTTTGTAATCTCTTTAATGTCCTAAAAACTTACTCACAAAGGCTGGACATCCACTTTTCACCCTCCACATAGAGGGATGAAGTGAGAAACAAACTAGAATGGCTTTAGACTCATTCATACATGTTTTTCCATTGGATGGATATAGACTTGCTCTTCCAAAAAGATTAAGCAGAGATCTTTCACTGGATAACCAAATCTCCAGTTCCCAGTTGCAATCCCTGCCATTATTCCCAAGGGCCTTCTAGCCCACCAAACCTGTTTTTTTAAGAGAATACAAGGGCCTGGAGGTGAAAATTGCCTCCCTTCGCCTGATACTATCCCTAAGCCAGCAGCATTATTTTGTATTACTGTCAAAGTACTACTAAAATCTAAATAGGTGGGATATTGGAATTTGACTGAAGAGCAGACTACAAGACTGTTGAAGACTATACTAATTTGTTTCAAGTCTCCCCTCAGCTTAACAGTGACCAGCTCTAGTTTGTGTGTTTCGGCTTCATCTTAGGTTCCAGGCTGAGAATGAAACTAAACCAAAACCATGGGGATATATATTCTCTTTCTGAACATGAGAGGGAAAACATGTTTTAAACAATCACTGAAAGCAAGCAAATGATAGCATTCAATTAGCTCATCCCACTGATAAAATGATTTCCAGTGGAAGAATGAGTCCCTGCTCTAATTTTGGAAATTGATCAAAAATAGCAGATTGCAGGAAGTGTAGTGAAAGATGACATGTAGCAAGTCTCATCAAACCAGCAGAAGTCAGTTTGTGGAAAACCGGATATTGCTCTAGAACAGTGGTTCACAACATGTGGGTCCCCAGGTGTTTTGGCCTACAACTCCCAGAAATCCAGTTTACCAGCTGTTAGTATTTCTGGGAGTCGAAGGCCAAAACATCTGGGGACCCACAGGTTGAAAACCACTGCTCTAGCATGTATTAACAGTCTGTATTAATAGCTAACAATGTCTGTAGCTAAAACAAGCATACTGTCATCCTCTCTTGGACAGACCTATAGTTCTCAAACCTGTGTCTACACTGTGTCACTTTCTATTGCGAGTGGTGTCTCTACTGCTCCAGTCTGGAGAAATCCCTGTAGACAGACAGCTTTCAACGAGAAGGATTATAGACCCTGCCTGTTTTATACATTAGTCTTCTTTCTGAAAGGAAACTGTGAGGTAGAACATTTATTAATCAGAGCTGTCACTTGCAGTATGAAATGTTGGCTTTCTCAGAATTATTTACCCCACATAAATGCATCTGACCAGTATTACTGTCTTGCCTACTGAAGCCTGCCCATAACTTTCCCTATGGAGCTGCCCATATGTAAATGATGGATTCAATCCAATTGCTAGTCTCATCTAAAGTGAACTCACTGAATCGTAAGTTATGTATGTTGACCTCGACTAATACAATGGTCTACTACAACTGGGAACAGTAGGCAAATTTAGACTTGTAAAAGTGTATACATTAACATAAAACAAGTGCTCGATGGAATAGGATGGAATCCATTCCGCATTTTTCAGTACAGTATCCCATCAGGCAAGTGCTTTTTGTTAGAACAGAACAGACATACCAGATATCTGCTTTTCTCCCATATCCCTCTCCGCTAATAACTTCAGGACTCATCCAGTATGGCGTCCCTGTGACAGATTTCATTCCCGTACCAGACAGGCAAATTGTCTGAAGCCGCTTACTGGCACCAAAATCACCCAACTTAACATTGCCAGCAGAGTCCCGGAGAATATTTGCTCCTGCAAAATAAAGATATGTTGTACTGTGTATGTCTGGCAGTAAACAGTTACCATCAAGGACTGACATCAGCTATAGATTAATTTTATAGTATCAGAAAAATCTTATATAAAATTATATGTGACTTTCTTCCATGTGCACTTTTAAAGTGTGCCTTTTCCCCAAGTAAATACTGTTGATTACAATCAGATTTATAGAAAACTATAGATCTCATGAAAAATGACCCAGTAGATGACTTGGGATGCAACCCACATTTGGAAGCCAAGTCAGAGGAAACAGGATGAGGAAAAAAAGCTGAGATCAGTCAAGTCCCTTTCTTTGCTTTGTAAACACTATGTGCTCATGCCACTTGCTGTTTGATTTTTCTTGAGAATAGCATTTCCTAAATTAACTCAGGGGGGTGTCCATCACTAGATATTTGTAAGTGTAATATATTATGTAGATAAAAACATAATATATTATGCCAGAACATCCCCATTACAAATTTTATCTCAACTTCCTTTTAGATCTTAGACGAGATAGTGTTCCTTCACTCTCAGTTCTCTATTGGCAATACACTTCTCTAGAAAAATATCTAATTTTCTAAAACTACAAAGTATGAAAAAAAGAGAAGGAATAATCTATTCTAAATTTAAATAATGATCCTTAGGAACTTGTTCCCAAAGTTTTGGAGGAAGTTCTATTATTACTTACTTACAAAGCAGCAGGAATGACAGGCTATTTGACTTTCTAATTTGGCTCACATATAACAAAAGGCTTGGCTATTTAACTTGAAACCCTCTCCATAGCTCAGAGATATTTTAATTGTATAAGAGTTTGGTAGCATCAATGACAGTATTTTATCATGAGCATTTCAGTCACCACATACATTTAATAATAAGTCATTGTAAGAGGAAAACCGTTCTCATGTAGATGCTTGATAATTCCCTCTTTGTTACCTTTAATGTCTCTGTGTACAATCATATTACTGTGCAAATAATGAACTCCCTCCAAAATCTGTCGAGTGTACTTCCGAGTCACATTTTCTGTGAGTGCACCGTAGGCCTTCAACTGATCTTTTATCGAGCCCTTCAGGAAAAGAAAAAGGTGAAATATTGTAAAGCTATATTATAGTAGTATAAGAACGAGTTGCTTACCTGTAACTGTGGCCCCTTCTACACAGCTGAATAAAATCCCACATTTTCTGCTTTGAACTTGAATATATGACAGTGTGGACTCAGATAACCCAGTTCAAAGCAGATTTTGTGGGATTTTCTGCCTTGATATTCTGGGTTATAGGGCTGTGTGGAAGGGCCCTGTGTTTCTTTGAGTGGTGATCTGTGCAATTTGCACATACAGGTTTGTCTGCACATACGCAGTGCAGTTCAGAACCTTCTAGAACTGTAAAATGAAACATTTTGGCAGTAGCCCCACTCATTCTCCTCATATAGTATAAGTAGCCATGGGCGGGACTGAGCTTCAGTTCGCCCAGCCACTAGTCCAGCTGCTAAGGAGAAGAGGCATGAAAACAGCAGAAAGGATGGGCAGGGATGTGCAAATTTCACAAATTACCATTCCTACTTCTTCGTGCTCTGTGTTAAAGTTGCACTTATAGTAGACTAGTGAGCTATAGGTCTTGGATGGTGGGAGTCATGCCACTGAAGATAGAAGGATCATTCTGCCAAAAGCCATGTTTCTTGGAAATAATGTCCAGTTTGTAATGTGTAACAAAGTTAAATGGGGAAGACCAAATGGCTCCCCAACACACCTCTTCCAGTGGACCGCCCTTCAAGAAGATGGTTGATGCAGCAACAGCTCTTGTTGCTTCTTTCTCTAGCAGTGTTCGGACCACCTCCCAGAGCACTGGTGTGTGTGTGTGGCGGGGGGGGGGGGGGGGGGGGGGGGGGGGGGGGGGGGTTACACAGAGCTGCCCCACTTGTGGTGGTTGAGTAAATTCAAAGTCATAACCTACCCCACTACATTTAATACCCAAGAGTCTGGGGTGATTGCATGTCATGCCTGAATATAGGCAGCTAGTTGTTCCTCAAAAAGTGCTGTGCCAGCAGGGTAAAGGTGACAAAAAATGCAGAGTAAAGTGAATCCCTTGTCCCAAGAAGTGTGTGTGGTGGTTGGCAACATTGTTGCTGCAAAGGTGCTTGTGGCAGGAAAACCAAACTTTTGAGCTGCTTGCCTCATTCCATGCATGTGTTTCAACCGGTCATCAGTTTCGGGATTAAACAAGCCACTATTGTGCATCAGCAGATTTTACGCAATTTACTTGCCCTCTTCCTAAAATGTGGAAGAATGCAGCCACACATGCCTACTGATTGCCATGGCTAAGGCAAAAGCCTACCTGCCGAGTCAGCAAAGTGCTTTGCGAGCTCTTCTTGAAACCGGGATAATATAACAGCCTCCTAGTGGAATGCCTCTGCAAAACGTTGTTCTTGTGGTAGAAGACGGTAAAAATAAGGAACCATCTTTCCTCATAAAAAGGACTGATATGCTGCCATGCACCCACTACAAAGTGCCATGAGGATAAATAACACTGCAATCTGTTGGACTGTCCCTCCCATGCTATTAATTTTCCTTCTCTCTTTATCTGGAGGGTTGGAATGGCTTTTTGAGATTGACGGGGCTGCTTCACATCAACCACCACTAAGTTGGGCTTTGAAGGCTTTGCTAATCCTTCTGGCGAAGCTGTATCTAGGCAGTACAAGCCATCAATACAGCGAGATAGTGCCGGGACTGCACTAACTGCTAGGTCAGGTTTCGTGCCAGGTGTAGGAAGTATGGAAGAGAGGGCAACACCGTAGCTGCCCACATGGTTTGTTGTTCTGCTGGGAGGAGTGGATCTTCCACTGGTGCTGGTGCTTTTGCCATGGGCACACTCATTAGTACCATTAGTGCTGTAAAATTACTCAAATTCTCTGCCGGGAGAGGATGAGAAGTTGTGTCCTCCGGAAGAGTGTTCCTTGTAGTATCAAGTAACTCTGACTCCTCCTCAGAGAAGTCTGTGACGACACTAGGGTCTGACAGTGGAGGCTGTAAGTTTTGTGTGGGACTACTACCTTCCCTAAACCAGGTGTTTAAAAAGAGAAAAAGGGCTCATTCTGGTGGTTACTATATGCAGGTTACATAAATGTGCTCATTAAGGCCAGTAAGTTTGGGCCACTCCCAGTGGGGTATAACTGGGTGTCTCTTGGGACACACAGTTCTGCTGCTGCTCTCCCTTGCTCACTCTCTGGTGATGGGAGATGGAGAAGCCATGCCCTCAGTTCTGGTATAATTGCATCCAAAGACTATGTGAGTTATGTTAGTCTGAAGGACTGTTACTTTTTATTCAAAGCTACAAGCTTTTTTCCTGTTTTTGAACTCTGTGGAATAAGAGTAAATACACTTTTCCTCTATTATGCCTTGCTACTGTGTCCTTAATGGATAAGCTTCTGCATTAATTGCAACAGAGTAGACATTTAGAATAGTCAATACAGTCAGTCTGTGACAAGTTAAAGGAGGGAAGGGGACAAACCTTATTCAAGCAATTCAATAAGCCAGAAGACAAACTCAAGTCAAAAATCAATCCAAGTCAAAATAATTATGAGAAAGAAACCCCAAAGAGTAATCTTACCGTTTGACATCACAGGGTAGGTTGCTGAGAGATTCCAAGCTCCTGTGATGCCAGGGGATCACAGGAACTGAAAATACCCCCTTCCCAATGGTTATATGCCTCCTGGGGAGGATGAGCAAGGCTCCAGCCAGAAGACTTTCAGCTGTCTAGAAGATTCCAAAGCTCACTGCGAAGGCACAGGCAGTACCACATGTGCGGCTTTCACAGAGACCACAAAGAAGAACCACTTTAACTGCCTTGGTTCAATGCTATGGGATCATGGGAGCTGTAATTTTAAAAGGTTTTGAGCCTTCTCTGCCCAAGGGTGCAGATGCTTCATCAAACTTCAAATTCCATGATTAAATAGTATTGAGCTATGACAATTAAGTTACAGATGACATCTCTCAGATAAGAGCTCCAGGCGCACCAGAAACAGCTTCTCTTATTGTTTTGATTCAGCACTAAAATTACTATATTACACAAATCTAATGTGCATCCTGATTTTGGCAAGGTAATTTAGCAAAAAAATGGCGAGTGTTAGATTCAAGAAAATACCGTAATAACTTATTAACAATAACACCGTTTGGGAAGGCTTTTAAATGTTAGCATCTGACTGGTGGCTTTAAATTGTCAATATTTCAAAATGATTTCAAATTGGCTTGAAATTGAGACAAAATGCAAGAATTATACACCTTGCTACAGAAGAGTGGATAAGTAAATACCATAACACAAATTGCAACATTTTTTGCCCTCAATGTGCTCTAGAGGCCTCAAGGGCTTGTTCACCAACCAAAGGACTCCCTAGGAAGTTTTTCTTTGCTGAATTGGGAAGTGATTCTAACGTTTTGGAACTTTGGAAAAAAGACTCTCTTTCAGCATGAAAGAGGATAGAAGATCCACAAACAGTGGCAACATTCCATTGTCGCCAAAGTGGCTTTTTCAGCAAAATAAATTTTTGAAAAAAGTTTTTTTTCTATTTTTTTTTAAAAAAAACTTTAGAAGTAAGGAACCTGGGGAAGTTGAGGGGCATACTTTGTCAATCCTTACATGTAAATGTATCTATATATACATAACTGCACTTACACAGACACCACAAGAGATGAGAAATTACTGACTACCTGCAGATCTCTATCTTACCCCTGGCATATATTCCATGAATATAGAGAGCGTTCTTTCAGGAGGATCCCTCAGGCAGCCATAGTACTGGACAATTCTTTCATGTAGCAGATTTTTCAGCAGCTGGATCTCACATTCAAGGGCATTTACCTCCTGAAAAACAAAAGCAAAACAGCAATCAATTTTACAGATTCTGACAGAATGCACAGTCTTGAGCCATAAAGACACACATTCAAGGAGTATTCAACTTGCATTTCATAGCATTACAGAGTTGGAAAGAACCACAAGGGACATCTAGTCCAATCTCCTTCCTCGCAGAAATACTCTGCCTAAAGCACTCTTAAGAGATGGCCTTACAACCTATGTTTTAAAAACTCCAAATAAGGAGACTCCACCACCTGCTGAGAGAGTCAATTCCATTACCAGGAGCCCATCATCCAGCTAGTTATAATAATACATACGTTGTTAATGGAATTTATAGATTTGATTCCATGATTCATTCAGCAACAGGTCAATATTCATTTTTCAAATTCCTGCTCATTGCGAGGAAAACACGCAATGACTCTATTCCCAAAATCTCTGATATTCATCTTTACATGTGTGTAGCACAAAATGATTAATTCAAGCAGAAACACAAAAAATGTGCATGTAATAACTATCAATGAAGCTAGGTCACTGGGAGAGAGGTAACCCAGAATACCAAATCAGTAGATCCCAAGCAACCAAGCATGGATGGGAGACCCATGGTAAGAAACCATGGACTACCCCCATTTGCAGCATGTTCATGAGCAATAAACCAGGGTTTCTTTTGAGTTCCAGCTTACTGAAAACTCTGAGCCTCCCAATTATCTTACCTTACTGGTTTCTGGGCTGTCAGGATCAAACTGAACTTGTTTAACAGCCAGCTCTCGTCCTGTGTCTGCATCATAGCACAGATAAACTCTACCAAATGCACCCTGGCCCAGCAATTTCCCAAGTCTCCAGTTAGTTGGAGCTCGTGGTGCTGAAAACACAGTAAGATATAAAATTGATACCAAGGTAAAGTATGACAAGAATAAACATTTCAGAATCTTTTCTGGTATGCAGAAAAGCCCAACAATGCACAAATCACTGTGTTTGAGTTTAGTTCATAATGTTCATTTAGAGAAGCAAATTATCATAAAATATAAGCAAATCCTGTTGTCAAAAACTCACGGCAAGTATTACCACAATATACCAAAAAGTTAATGCTACCATAATGTTTCATTAATGCCTCATACCATTTATCTATGTAATTAAGGAAAAAGAGTTACTAACCAAGTAACACTTTTATTGATAAAACTACTCTCGGCTGAAAAGATGCCTCACACAAGCTGAAAATAAGGGAGCATTTGCACTGTGGAATTCCATGGCTCAATGCTATGAAACCCTGGGAGTTGTAGTTTTACAAAGTCTTTTTCCTTGTGTACCAAAGATTGCTAGTATCTGATTGAACTACAACTCCCATGATTCTGCAGCAATAAGCCACAGAAGAACAGGCAGGAGTATTTCTAATATATATGTGTGTTGTGACATTTTTATGCTTATGTTGTTTTGTTAATTTTATGCTTATGTTGTCTATTCCATATGTATCAGTGTTATTTGGAAACTGCCCTGAGGCCCCTCAGGGAGATAGAGCAGTATATAAATAAAGTTTTATTATTTATTATTAGAAGTTAAAATGGTGTCAAATTGTAATAATTCTACAGTGTAGAACCAACCAAAGTAACTACTGTTGGGAAAACCAAAATTTTCCATAGTCAAACACAAATCTAGTACATTTACCTTTTATTTTGGTATTAGAGATTTATTTTTTTCACAGTCATATAATGATATTTTATCCAACTGTAATGTTCTACAACTGTTTCTCCTAATATTCTAAAAGTGCATCTCTAAATTTCCATTTCTACAATAATTCCACAAAAATCCAGTTCCATAAAATATGCCTGTTTTTTTCTCTAGGACTTCCATTATATGTGTGTGTGTGTGTGTGTTCTGTGCGTAATGAATACCTTAAAAACAAAATAACCAATGAACGAAATCACAGCAAATTTGGCAGCAAAATGTCTCACAACACAAGGAGTGACCATCACTCAAAAATTATGATTTTGTCATTTGGGAGTTGTAATTGCTGGGATTTATAGTTCACCTATAATCAAAGAGCATTCCGAACTCCACCAACGATGGAATTGAACCAAACTTGGCACACAGGACTTCCAAGACCAACAGAAAACACTAGAAGGTTTTGGTGGGCATTGACCTTGAGTTTGAGAGTTGTAGTTCACCTACATCCAGAGAACACTTTGGACTCAAACAATGACGGGTCTGGACCAAACTGGGCATGAATGTTCTATATGTCCAAATATGAACACAGATGAAGTTTGGGGGAAATAGACCTTGACATTTGGGAGTTGTAGTTCTACTGGGATTTATAGTTCACCTACAATCAGAGCATTCCTGAACCCCACCAATGTAGAATTGGGCCAAACTTCCCACACAGAACCCCATGACCAACAGAAAATACTGTGTTTTCTGGTGGTCTTTGGTGACCCCTTCTGACACCCCCCTGGTGACCCCCCCCCAGGTCTTGACTTCCATGTTGAGAAATGCTGCCTTAAGGCCATCCAGTCCAACTCCCTTCACCAGGGCAAGAAAACATAATCAAAGCCCTCCTGACAAAGGGTCATCCAGCCATTCACACACACACATATATGTATATGACAGAGATTTGAAAGGGACCCCTAAAGAAGGACAATTATATGTTGCATGTTCCAGAGTAGGCAAACCAGACAATCTCCACATCAACACTGGCAAAGAAACAGCAAGAAATACTGTTTACCCACAAGCATAAAGACATTACATATATTAGAAACCAACACTTTCTCATTAATTTTCCAGATCAGCAGACTGGGCCACAGCAACGCGTGGAAGGGAACTGCTAAGATAGATAGATAGATAGATAGATAGATAGATAGATAGATAGATAGATAGATAGATAGATATTCTGACACTGGTCACAGGACATTCCCTGAATACATAATGCAATCCATTCTTCACTGTGGCAGTTTCTTTAGAGCTCCTCTTACAAATTACTGAAGGTCTCTCTACATTACGAAATTTATCTCGTACAGGATCCCAAAGAACACTGTATCTCACAAAATTGCTCTCTGAAACAGCATACTGAAACACAAGCCCTTAGCATGTGTCCCACTGCCTTGCCGCTAGGGAAACTGGGATGCTTATTTCCAAGTTATCTTGTTCTGTTTTATTCATTTTTGCAGTCGCACACTTGTAACATCAGCACAGCCCTGTACTGGGACAAAGAAAATCAAGGCTGACCAAACAGAAACAAACAAACAAAGGGTGGGGGGAATTTATCAATTTCAGATAAAGCATACAATGGAGTTTCATCTATTTCCTTACAGCGGCTAGGCGGGCTGATATCCATTACTGTCAAAGTAGGATTCTCTATGTCACTGCCTCTTCTCCGCATCCTTCCATCTTCATATTCTGGAGTGAAAGTGCTGCTCCCACTGCTTGTGCTCAAGGAGTGATCAGTTGGGCTGAAACTAACTGGAGAGCGTAGGATGTTTCCTTGCGTCCTTCTAGCCCTCGGAAAAGTTTTACGACCTGCAGGAATGAGTGAGGAAATACTGCAGTACAGTACCACAAAAGATAACTTGGTTTTATTCATTTGTAACACTGACCTACCATTTGATACACTGCATATACTCATTTCCAAATCTAGAAATTTTAATCAAAATATCGATCCCAAAAATCTGAGTCAACTTATCCACTGGTCAAAGTAAGATAACCATCCCCTTCTCAGAATAAAGTTCCAAAACCTTAGTCTACCCTGGGAAAATGTAAAAGGAGCACCAAACCTCCTCAACTGACTCTACTATGATGCAGCTTCAGTCCATTTTGAATGCCTGGTTGAGAAAATAACAGTGGTGGCAAGGAACAACAGACCCTGAGATGGCACTGGGGCCTTCCCCTCTCCATGGAATGACCACTTATCCATTGGTCACATCAAAATCCATAAATTTGTCCTCCGTTTATAAATGAAGTTGACTTGCACATGAGTATATAAAGTAATAAAAACTCTGAGAAGTTCCAATGGAAGGAAATGGCAATTAAGCACTGAACAGATCAGGAGCCATATTAAAGATCTCAATGCAATCACAATAAAACATTAGTTACTCCTCTAGGTACAAAGGATTGTATCTGAAAACTGTAGATTCATCCCAAAGAAAAACCACATCTAACACTATACCTTCAAATACTGTTCTTCCATTTAGCATACCAAACTCTAGCTCTTAAAATCTGATGTACTGCAGATATTGAAGAGAATAAGATAGTTATATTGTGAGCTAGTACTGAATGAAAGATGGATATAAATTAAACAAACACAATCTGTGAAAGATGAAAGTCAGGCAACTGCAATGTCTATATATAGAATTTCTATTTCTTTTTCATCTCTTTAACAGCTAGCTGTAGTCCTGTGCCTGCACCATACTGCAGATAAACTCATAAGAAAACTAGAAATGTGGTGTACAGAAAAACCTGAATTGATCCAAACCATAATAATGATGGCTCAGAAAACTACATATTCCTACTTATGTTCAGTAATAAGTATGCATTCTGATACTTTTATTAAAATTGGAGAATGAAATGAGATTCAAGTGTTATTTTGATAAATAGCCAGAAATAATTGAAAATTATTCCAGATGTCTTAACAGGAAAGTTGCCAATCAAATAATCAGCTTGACATCTTGAAGAAATGCAAAAAACAATCCAGCTTTCTGAATAGAATAGGGGGCCACAAACTGAATGGAAGACTCACCATCACTGTAGTCTTGATGGCTGTAAGAAATATGATACCTTCGAGGGTATGTTCCACCTTTCCCAAATTTCTCAAATACTGGGAGGTCATAATCTGAAGAAACAATAATATGATAATTATTTTCCATCTGGTTGATTAAGTCTGTAAGAGGAAAAGAGACTAATGAGCTGTTAAGACTGCATAGAAAGCCTGATGCTATTTTGTGAACTCCACATCCATACTCAATTCCTAGCTATTATATTGTTCTGCATATACTATTTAATTAGCACTTTACCTTTGAAAGTAAAATGAAAATTTGAGAGCTCATCATTCAATCAGGATAGTGGCATGCAAGAACTGCTACTACTACCACCTCTAGCAAACATAATGAGAAATGTTAGGAATTGATTTCCAACAATATCTAAAGAGCTATGCCTTATCCTCCCCTATTTTTGAGAAAAGGAAACTGAATAGACCACCTTCTAGGGTAATTTAAAGCCTGTGTTCTGTCCCCTACTGTATTAAATGTTTATGTCTTTCAAAATTACTTAAATGTGCAAGCATCCTTTTAAAATAATTCCATGGAATTTTATTTTTAAAGCTGAAGTGCCAACAGTTAGAAATTAATCAAGTTCAGCTCCTCAGGAGGACAATTTCTACAATTATTTCTTAACCATTCACTGCAACATGAAAAACACTTGCTAAAAACAGTTCCTGAAGTTGTAAATTTATATATTCTGTTCCATTTAAATCTGATCTGGTACTAGCAAAAGAATGATTTTGCAACAGTAATGATCTGAATTGGATCTAGATGTGGCTATATTGTTGTTTAAAATATTTTAATGGATATTTTATAATTTAATGTTTTAACTAATGTTTAATTTGTTATATTGCTTTTGTTTTTATGTGTTGGCATCTAATTATAAGCCGCCCCGAGTCCCATCCCCCCCAGGGGGCTACAAATGTTTGAAATAATAATAATAATAATAATAATAATAATAATAATAATAATAATAATATCTGCTGTTCTGAAGAACTCAGGATTTACAAATATGTGCTAAATTTCTTATTGATATACTGATATAGCCCCCTTTTGAAAATTTGCATTCTAAATGGTTGTATGATCACATAGTTGTACAACTGCACTTTTATTTGACAAATAAAACAGCACTAAGCTAAACTTCATGTATTCATCCAGAGAAACGTTAAAGTTACAAGAGAAAAGTTGACAAGAGAAACTGGATGCTGCATTTGTTTGTTTTACTCACCAGAAAACTCTTGGTGGTTATCGGGATAGCTCTGGGCTCTTGGCATCCGTGACTTGGGACAGTTTTCTCTGAAAGAACAAAACAATATACAGCTACTAAATCTAAATGCAGTGATATTTTTGTGACTAGCAGTTTTCAAGCATAAAGTACAAAGAAGTATGAGTTTTAATAGCTCCTACCCATCCAAAGGACTGTCGAGTGAAGGACAACTTCCTGAGCCTGAGTTTTCAGGACTACTCAGTGATAATGGATCCAGCATCTGAGGGAAAAATATATCAGACTGACTGACACACTTTGATATTCATAGCTCTTCAGACTCTAACATAAATAGACAATATGTCAACAGGTCATGAAGATCCTTCACTCTGGTAATATCCAGAAGGTTATATTCTTAACGCTTCCCCAGAAGCATCTGGCAGCTGAGAATGAATAGCCAGGTAACTAGGCAGGGATGAATGCTACCTGTGCAGTTTTCCTAAGGGTGGACCATCTATATCTGCCATGGTTCACTTACTTATTTTTTAAAAATACCTCAAAAGGATTCTAAGCTATATACAATAATGTTCCAGTATAATGAAAGCAGGAAATGAAAGATACTAAAGAAGGAAAAGTAAATGCATTTGCTGTATGTTTCTATAAAATGTCAAAATATGATTATTTGTAAATTTCATCAATACATCTTGATTGTAACAAATTGTATTTGTAACATTATAGCACTGTGGTTGGTTCCTTTACATTGAGTTGCATGCCAAGCCAATGAAAAAAGCAAGGTGGTGCAAGGCTTTAAGGCAGCATGTCAATGGCAAAAATGAAGATCTTTCCTTACTTGATCCATGCTTTCTGGAATGAATTCGCCCTCACTGTTGATACTTGTGAATGACCCATTCCGTGCCACTTGGTGCAGCTCATCCGGAATGTATCCCGGTGGAGGAGAGCTTCTGTCCCGGCCATAATAACCTGTTTATTTTTAAAATTTAAGTAATCAGAATATAATTAATATCCCTTTTCCACCAGTAACTATCTATTTCAGATATATTTGTAGATATATTTGTAAATATTTGTAGACAGTAAGTCTCTACAGTCACTTATGGACCCACTACCAAAACTATCATACTCAGCCACAAGTGATAATCTATGATAATGATGATAACTGATTTGCACTTTTTTGAATTTTTGTTTTGTTTTGCAATTCCACTTATTGCCTGCAAAGCACACATACTCTAGCAATTTAGGGACCCACTTACATTGCAGGAAGGAATCACTGCAAAATCTTAAACATGTTGAAGTATATTCTGATTTCATGGCCGAAATCACTGGGTTTCTGTGAGTTTTCCAGTTGCACCATTCACAACTGCCTCAAACAGACCCGAGTTCTTTCCCCCACCCTGGACATCTGTTGGAAACCAGGACATTGCCTAATTTCCAACAGACTCTTCAACCTCTGAGGATGCCTGCCATCGATGTGGGTGAAATGTCAGGAGATAATGCTTCTGGAACATGGCCATCAGCCCAGAAAACTCACTGTATTTCAACATATTTGTCTCACTTGGAGACCTGATAGGGAGCTGTTTATATTTCCAAACTCTATACCAACAAATATGTATATGTGCACACACGGACCCCTTTACAACATTCAAGCCCTTTTAAAATAGATTGGAGCACAATCAGACAGGCAAACACATCCCCCCTAACAGTGTTGTGGAGGGAATTGATTTTCTAAGATTCCTCTTTCATTTCTCCTGCATCAAACACAAATTTGCTTTCAAGGCGCAGGGATCCTTTTCTAAACTGACAGGAATGTTAAGTGAACATAGCTCATAGAAACTTGTGCTGGCCTGAAGAAACCATTGCTGCAAATCCAGCATTGCATGATGTTATCTTAGCCATACACTTCAGAGAATTTAAAAAATATTGCTGTATTCTGCAAAGACCGATCTACTCCCAACTAAAAACATGTGGCTTTTTAATGACAGCCATAAGGAAAGCTATAGAACATTTTTAAAGCATGGTAAGTACAGCTTGACTACTTGGAAGAGGCAAAGAAAAAAAGTGCAGATGTTTACTTTGCATATGGTTATTTAAAACTCCAAGAAACATTGTATACTATAAGGTTACAGGGGGAACCATCTATAACTAAGTAACAGTTGGAAAGGACAGCAATTTCTAAGATTTGTCTACATTTGAAGTAAAATGCATATCTATAATTTTGCACAAGCTTTTACACACATTTTCCAAATAAATATCTACAACATTTCTTTGTTTCATCAGTAAGTAAATATGGGCTCTTTTCTGAACTACTAGAAATGTAATATAGCAAATATTTGCATACTAAACATAACATTACTTGCATACTAACAAAACATTCATTTAGATAATATTTCCAGCAGCCCAACAACTTCAAAAGTGGCAACAGAAGGTCTTATTACCTATTACAGAAAGCCTGTTCTTCCTTTCTGTAACTCTGAAAACCGTATTATCCAAATCTTCCAGTGATGGCAGAGGCTCCAAATTGCTCTGGAGGACAAAGCACAGAGTTTTACATTAACTCCTAAAAACAGAAGAAACCTTCCACTCATACAAAGGGAAGTCTTTTTTTTTGACATGAGCAAAGTTTTTCCCCATGCAATTTCTCAGTGAATATGTTGGGAAAGAAACCAAATAGCAGAATACTCTCAAAACATACAATGCTATTAAAATTCTAAAGACACAAAGGAGTGTGCCTGGCTAAGTACAATATTTCAAAATTGGCTTTAATCATTTGATCAAAAAAATGTCCTCAGGTACCGTCCTCAGGCACAATCATAGGAATCATCGACTTAACTTTTCCACCTCGTTTAAACTAGCCAGGGAAGCCTTTTTGGTCCAGGGTCAGAAAACAACTCAAAACCTGGCTATGTAACCAGGCGTTTGGCAAATGATAGTACTACTGAAGCAGCTAAATGACAACCATGGGTTTGGTGCAATGTCTAATATGTCTAAAATGTTTTATGTTCATGTTTGATGTGTTGTTAGTTTCAATGGTTTTAATTCATAGTTATATGTTATTGATTTAAATATGTTATGTATTATATGTATGTATGTCTGTGTGTGTGTGTGTGCGTGTGCGTGTGTATATGCATGCGCGCATGCTTGGCATTGAATTTTTGCCATCTATTACGTTGCACACCACTTTGAGTCCCCCCAGAGATGAGAAAAGCGGCATAGTAATGCAATAAATAAATAAATAATTCTGGTTTTGGGAATATATTCCAACAGTGGTCAAGACTAAGGGCATAAGGTGGGTCAAATGTAATTCAGTTTAGACTTTTTTTCCCAACAAATAGAAAAGCATAGCAATGCCTATTCAGAAACAATCTGTGAACACCATCTGAGTTTTTAAAGTGGGATTCACATGATCACATAACTCATGATTAACTACAGAATGGTGTTATATGCAACAGACCAAAGGATTTGGACTCAGATGAACATGCTCTAAATCACTGCTTTTTAAATTGTGGGTCCTGGCCCCAAATGAGTTCCCGTTAGCTCAATGTTGGAGTCACGAAAATTTGGTAAGTTCTGAACATTCCCTAATTGCTGTTTTCGACATTTACAAGAATCTGTTGTGCAGTGTTTACAGTGGACTCTGTAGAAGATGCTTCAGCTGTACTTCATGAAAAGGAAAAGCGGCCTGTTTAGAAAGCCTTGCAAATGCTGTTTTGGTATCAGTAAATGTTTTATTTTTATTCTTATTCTCCAGCGTCTGTTTTTATAGTGTTTGGGAAGGACCACATAAACTTGAAAGCAACGTTGTAAGTGGTAGCATGGGCAAGAAGGGACTGGTTAAAAAAAACACCTTCTCAGCCCTTTCCCTAGAATGTATGGAACTCTGCTCAATGCAAGTATGGATCGAGCCTTGTAATTATAAAAATGTTACATACAAACAAGCTCATACCTGTGAGTTTCCATGAGTAACAAGCAAAATCTTGAGGCTCTTCATGTGAATGCTTCGATCAAGGAGCTCTACGGCTTTTTCCAAATCATCTTGTGTTGTTAATGGGATCACCAACTAAATGGGAAAAACACATAGAGAGCAAAGTCACAATATGCCCATCCACAGGTAGTGTATGTGATTAAAGCACAACAGTTTGTCCTGTTTAAAAAAATCACACCAAGAACCAAGTGCATTCTATGACAAATGTGTGGGTGAATGTGGATTGGTAACATTGTGTGAAGGCTGTGCAAATACAATTCCCAGAAATCCCAGCCAGTTTACCAGCTGTTGGGATTTCTGGGAGTTGAAGGCCAAAAACATCTGGGGACCCCAGGTTGAGAACCACTGATCTACAGAATGCTCTCCCAGGAAGACTTAACTGGCCCCAACATTATCATTTCAAATGCTTAACAAGATATGGTTAATCCATTTTAAGTATTAGCATTTGGCTGAATTATCATCTCTTTAATTTATTCTTACAGATATTTTTAAATATTTATATTTTTAGATGATCAGAGGCTTCAAAAAAAGGATATCCAAGAAATGAAGATGATGATGACGATGACCACATTTACATGATAAGGAAATGAATTCCCAAGGTTTAGGCCTTCTCCAAATGTACACAGGACTCTAAAGACTGTTTACAAAATCTGCCTCAGAGGAGAATGTTTTAACTGTAATGATCTCATCACATCTTCCCATTCCAATTTTGCCATATAAATTCCCTTGGCCTCTCTTTTAAATATTGTTAACATCCCACACGACATACACTTTTGAAACTATTTTTTGGCTTCATGTGATGCAGGCCTAAAAACAAGCATGTTCAACATCCAGCACATCTGTTAATTATTGAAGCAGCACAGTTGCTTGGTTTTTCTTCTCTTTTCCACAAATTGAACACAAAAGTTTAAAGTCGGTCAGGTTATATTTAGAAGAAGGTTTTTAATGGACAGAGTATCTGAATTGTTACCAAGATTTGTTTGTATATGGTCATTTATATCATGGAACAAAAGTTCAGAGGCTCAGTACATCTTAACACTTGTAAGAAGTGGCAAATAGCACTAAAGAAGGAAAATCAATCCTCAGGAGGTAGATTCCACTTAAACAGAATT